ATGGTGATGGCAACGACGATGGTGTTGGTGATGGTGATGGCGACGACAATGGTGCTGGTGATGGCAAAGACGATGTTGATGGTGATGGTGATGGTGATGGCGATAATGATGATGGCGATGATGGTGATGACACCGGTAATAAAACTGGCGACTTTATTGACTTAATTGCGGATATCGTTGATGAAGGAACCATGTAAGAGTACTTAGTGAGGCTTGGTGTCGGTCGTGTTGAGATGTCGGACGAATAACTTAACGAAGAAAAAGTGTCTAATATTTTTCCCATAGCGGATTTTTTCTCAACGGTACTGTAGATGAGTGAAGTCGTCGATGATGATAAAGATACTGTCTTTGATGGCAGTGTTGGAGCTAAAAGAGTTAAATTCAGAGGTTTGCGCAGCAAAGAAGAAGAAGAAGGAGAATGATGCACTATAGAATACATGTATGAAGTGTCTTCATGCAGCATTGTGGAGGCTGAAGAAGCCAAACTCCGTGATGACATAGCTGAAGATACTTGACTCTCTTTAATGAATATGTTTTGGAAAGACGATGGTTTTGATATAAATGTTGATGATGAAAGATATGCTGTTCGTGGTGATGTTTCTGAAGGTGACAAATATGTGGAAACTGATGGCGTTGATGTTGCAGATAAATACGAAGTTGAAATTAATGCTTTTGACTTTGATGGCTGAATTGATAACGATGCAGATATCGATACAATTGATGATTCTGACGCTGTCATTGATAATGGTGGCGATGATGTTGATGATGACGATGACATTCTCAACTGTGACGTTGATGCTGATGATAATGGTGTTGATAAATTTGGTGATGGTATCAATGTTGGTGACGATGATGATATTGATGAATTTTGTGATAATGGCAATGATATCAATGTTGGTGATGATAATGATGATGATGATGAATTTGGTGATGATGGCAATGATATCAATGTTGGTGATGATAATGGTGTTGATAAATTTGGTGATGATATCAATGATATCAATGTTGGTGATGATGAGGATGAATTTGGTGATGATGGTAATGATATCAATGTTGGTGATGATGATGAAGATGAAGTTGGTGATGATGGCAATGATAATGGTATTAATGTTGTTTGATATGAACCATTTCTTGCATTGGGTTCTCCTTTAGTTTCCAAACTGGATACAGGTACTGTCATGTGTAATTCAGGTGTTGGACTTACTGAAGTCAGCGTCATTCGAGGACTTGGTTTTATGACTCTGATACTTGAACCTCTTGCGCCATTTACAGACGAATATTCGTATATGTATGTTGTCTTCGTGGAAGGAGACCTTGTTGTCGAGATGTTTGATTCATGCCCCATCATGGACTCAGTTCTTTGTGTTGATGCATAGGATGCGTTTGATTTTATCTTGTTACTGTGATCTGAAGGTGGTGCAACTTTACTTGAAGACAATGGAAGAGTTGTGAACGCCTTCGTCGCACTATAAGTTTCAGATGGCATAATGTCCAAAGTTTTTCTCTTGTGGAGAGTAATTCTGCTGTCATAACTCGAACGAATGTCCACATCTGGCAGCGTCGTCGATCTCCTTGCAAGGCTACTCGTAGCGAACAGTCTAACTGAAGATTCTATCTTATCAGGCATTTGATGAACAAATGTGGGATCAGCAAGAGAGAGTTCATATGTACTCACAGAAGTCGGGTTTATGTGATGCAATTCTGAATGCAATATTGGAGTTGAAGTTCTAACATCAGAAGAATCATATATCTTAGTAATCTTATGATCTACCATGGATGGTGTCAGCGTTTTACTTTTCGTTACTGAATGAGTACTCGTTTGCTTGACAGGAGTCATGTCGTGGGTGATGGTCCTTAAATACTCTGAATATATAGGATTTTTAGGCAAAACAGCTGTAGATCTTGCATTAGTCGTTGATTCCTTGGGTGACATCCCTTGAGCATTGGATGGCTCAGGACTCGACTTTGTAACCCCTAAAGACCAGTGTCTTGGAGTTGGCGATGAAGATGAGGAATATAATGATGTTGAAGATGATGTATACGATGGAAAAGGGGAGCCCTTTATTCGTATTGATGCTGAGGATGATGAAGATGATGAATATCTTCGTGAAGACGAATCATCTAATTGTTCTTCTGACGTGACTGACGATGTTAATGATGATGTCACTGATGTTGAAAAAGGTATTGCCACAGATGGTAATGAAGTTGATCGTCCAACCATCAGCCTTGTCTTCTGATCTTTAATATACGTTGACGTCTCTGTACTTGAAAATAAGGTCGTTTGCAGTTGCGCGATTTTGCTTTGATCCCTGGTTGCCGTCGAGGGCTCGACATAATTTTGTAAAGGACTCAGATTTTGGGAGAGATGTGAGGATGACAGTAATCCCTGAGAAAACTCCCTTTCTGTTGATGATAATGATGATAATGATAGTGATGATGATAATGATGACGATGACAATGATGATATTGATGACAACGAAGATGATATTGATGATGGTGATGATATTAATGATGAAGAAGATGACATATATAGTAATTGTCTTCCTTCATCAATCCCAGTGGTTGCTGTAGATCTTGCCACCATGGATTTTGTCGTAAATGCTTCAGAAACTCTTGCTATCTGTGCACTTGTTGTCGCAGTTTGTCTTGTGTGGTACTCAAGTCTTTTTGTCGTAGCTGTAAATAAAGATCATGACAAACATTAACATTTATTTATTTATTTATTTATTTACTATGCTTCCAAAAAACTGTTGAGGAGAACTAGACAGGTGATATCACCTGTAGGATAGTCTCCCAACATCGAGTTCATAGCATTGATAGTGATTGTTATTAGGTTTGTTACTAACGATAGTACAATTTTGTCACGCAATCTGTTTGCGTGACAAATATAACTGTCGTGACTAGAGGTCGCAGTCGTCGTTCAGTGTAGCCTCCTTTGCAGCCGTTCTGAGGGAAACGTTGCGKGACGACCCTAAGAACGGCTGCAAAGGAGGCTACGTTCAGTGTTGTGTGTTGTGTGTAAAGTGGGAAAATCAACGCTCCACCAATGCCTTCCTTGTTAATAAATAATAAGAATYAATATCTTTTYATCGTAACTAATAAAGTTAWACTTTTTTCCAATTAGGCCCWTCATTYCTTCCTTCCAGTCTGACCCAATCAAAAAGCATGAAATACGTAGCATAGCAACAAGTAATAAGTGTGGTTGAAGACATCTTGAGATAATAAGAACGGCTAGACTGATCTATCCTAGCTTACAACAGCCRTGCGTGTATTAAATACCGAGGCATTGTTTGTCTTAAAGGTGTTTTTCCAGGGAATGGAAATTGAATTGTCAAACGAGCCTGAGGTCATTTAAGGTGGCTAAAGACCTATAATCATATAATTGATAGCAATTTATTAATGAATACCAGCTGTTGCTCTGCTGTACCATAAATCGAGCCTACTGAGAGTCATAATTGAGCCTCAGTCGTTCAGGCTGCTGACCYTAAAGACATTAAATTTTAGGTCCTTAATGGATGACTCCACGCATCCCCGGGAACCGGCCAGAGGTAAAGTTCTGTCGCTCATTCCTTTATTTTTTCTGGTAGCGAGAAACGAGCGATAGAACTTAAACCCCGGGTTCCCGAGGATGATGAGGACGCCAAAACGAATCATTTTTCTGTTACTTTGATAATGATAAGGATATAAATCCGAGATAATTTGAAATGACAAATGTTACGATCACAGACCGTAGAGCCGTCCGTTCCTGTTAAATTAACGTCGATCAAAAACAAATTAACTGTAATTACATAGTTGAGTAAGCTTACAAACTCATGTCGTGACAGGAATTTAACGATTTCCTGTTTCTTATTTAACAGTTTTATTCAAAACTTTGATTGACAGCTTTGGTACCTTGGGTMTCGGTAGATGGACTCCTAGAATTAAACAATCACCATGCAGCGAACTGTCCAGATTAACTCTGACAAAGCTACACAGACTATTTTTGAATTTCAATTATTTTGGTTCAAAAATGTCACCCAAAATACTTCAAATCTAAAGTTGCTACCAATAACGAAAATACGAGAAAGAATGTCGAAGGGGAAGTTTGGATTAATTACCCTTACTGTAATGCGAACTGAATATATCCTGTCAACTTTTTATCGAATTTTTGTAGCATAAAGAAAAACTTTGTGAAGGGAGCATATTTTTTTTAGTGCGATGAGTAAACTATCCCTAATTCCGTTRTGTATTTTATAGCAGGTTCTTGAGGTTCGTGTTTATGAGCATCAAATGAAGTGTTATTCTCTTCAGTGTAGATGTCGTGCATGATCGTTCACCGAGCTCTTGAGTTTTTAAGCAAATATTTAGACTTAGATGTGTTGTTTTAGGAGTTGTTTCGGAGAGAGGTCTGAAGAAGTAATGGATMTTTTGTTTTGAGTATCGCGTCTGGCTCGAATAAACAAACACAATATTAAATTCAATTATGTTTGAGTTTCTTTCTACTTAAGTGTAAACCATTAATATGAATTATCTCACCTGTGGAAAAAGGTGCAAACTCTGTTTTAGAGTTTCTGTATGAGTCCTTGATATCTCGCTTGTTTCTTCGTCGTAGTTTGGTTTTGACTTTGCAACCTTYACGTATTAATAAATCTACTTTAAGGCACTCCACGTGAAAAGCTTTGCACCAATTACTCCTTCTTAACCTCATAGTAATCGTTCTAGCGTCGAGAGAATCGTGACTAATTAATTTAACAAGGCGCAAGAAGACCTTTTTCTCGAGTTTAAACCAGAGCTTTAGCAATACGTTTTGCATATCGCAGCACAGTGTTTTGAAATGTGACAGAATTGGGTTCATTTTCATGACAGCTCTTCTTGCACACGTAGCTTTGTGCAGTTGCTGTTGCTGTTTGCTGTGACAATGTTTGAGTCTAGAACATACACATGCTTTCTTGCCCGAAGTATCGGCTAACTTTAAATTTCTCTTGTAACAACTTTCCTCTTTCTTGGAGAGATCTTTCGTAGCAACATTTACTCTATTTAAAGTGCAGTTGACGTATACTTGGTTTGAACAGACACAGATTCGAAAATCTTGACTAGATTGAATGACCTGTTCCATGAAGTTACACTCATTGTGTTGTGACATCGATAGCGATGTGACGAGAAAACTTGCCCACAATAATATTAGTATTCCTCTCATTTTTACCCGTCCAAAGTCTAGTTAATATACAAGAAGTCGGTCCAATTCGAATGTGAAAGTGAGCGTCAGTGCACATGGTTTGACGGCTGAACGCGTAGACTTACAAGCACTGTCATCTTGCTTGCTATTGTTGGCTATCGAAACCTGAGATGACTATCCTTTAGACCATCATGCTTTGGTAAACTCCGCGAGATTCCTTAGAAATCGTCAAATTCCAAAAACTACCTAAAGGCAAAGACGCCAAGGACCTTAAGTAACCGTCTCACGGGATGTTTTATGCTGACTACTTTGAAAGACAACGGGATACAAAAGCACTATGCGTTGTGTTTATTTTTGGGTTATTGAATAAGCCCTTTACTAAGCGAGTCATATCACCTATGTAAAGTATATATAGGCGGGGTTATCAGATTGGTTGATCTGAGGCAGAACGCGTTCACTTCGTACATCACACAGCTACATGTTTATTGGTCTAGTGAGGGGTCTAGTTTGCTTATGACCAGCCTAATTCTGTGCCCTGCGTGTGTCCTTGAACTTTGTGCTTTGTTTACATTCTGCGCAGGTATTTTGTAATATAAATTTCAAAACTGCGTTTGTTGTTAGGCATAACATGTCATCAGAAGGCGATAATTTTGCGTCGGATTTTATAGATTACATTTGTTGAAAGAAAAACAAGTTATTATTATGTAAGAGGCTGTTGCAGGTGAACGACACTGTAGATGTATTCAACAGGTGATTTACTCAAACAAAAAATTCAAACTCTTTCAGCTTATCACATTATTTTAACTAGTATTGTGGCTTTCATTTTCACYGGATGTTATTCCTATTTAAGTTCTCTTTGTCTGTCTTAAACTTTGCTACAAWTATAATGATGAAAATCATAGAATTCAAAGGTTGAATTGAATCTCTCCTGAAAAAAATTATACATAATTTGCTTTATGTTTCATAACCGCTTGCATGGCTGATCCCRCTGTGATAAAAATTGGACGCTTGTTAGACAAAACCAGAACCTAACCTAAATCTTTATTACAATCAGCCTCATGACTTAAACACTAGCTCATGAATTCCTCCAGATCTTATCGTACATTGACTCCTCTAGACCTGTTTTGTCTTCATTTGTGTCGAGTAAAAATGTGTTGTGGCGTGGAATTTTCATTATTAACCGTTGACTTTTCATTAATAACTTGACTTATTAAAACATAAACAAGATTGCTGAATGTAATTATCATTCAAACGAGTCCTCATCAGCATCTTGTTGGATGCCAAATGGTGAAAAATGAAAGTGAATTTTAATTTTGGCAAACGAAAAAAACTTWCGACGGCACGAAAAGCATTTCCCGACTGGCTTACCACAGCTTACCCAGTAATCACATTTTCAAAAAATATTTTGACCCTAGTTTAAGGGTCTGACATTTATACTTGCGAGAATAATCTGACTAATAAATTATTCTAAAAGAGTTAGGCATGTCTGCCACAGTTTTAGACTTCAGTGGAAGTCTTACCCAAGTTGTTTTAGGTACATATTTTTTTCTGCGCAAGAATGGCCTCGCCGTTTCTATTCAATCATTTCCCTTAGTTCTGTTCATTTCGAAAGCACATGCAAACATTGTAGATAATTGATCTAACTATAGATACAATATGATACGTTTTGAAATGATTCCTAACTTTTATCTTTTGATCGTCTAAGAAAATAAGATACCCTCCGTAGTCCTATTCGAACTTGTGGTAAATTATCGATCGTACTTTGATACTTGGAAATTTGAAGAGGTCGTTGAATGCGCTACTGGTTGTAGACAGTGTAGCATTAACAGTTTTTACTGGTTCAAAAATTAAATTACATTGTACAACAATTTCTTTAAATTCAAAGTTGTGCCTAAGAATTAATTTAAGGGTTCGTCATTCCTAAAGCTAAAATTTTTTTTCAGGGSCAGGAGGGAGAGGGAGGAGGGAAGGGAAGCATGAATGTTGTGCGCTTCTTACTGCACTATTGTGGTCGTAGGATCTAAACTTCAGTTTCAGTGATAAGAATAATATTCAACTGCTATCTACTTAGCTAAACGATGTGAACTAACCCACAGCTTATATTTTTAGAAATGGTGCTCGACTCGACTTCGAGATATTCAAAGCTCAAGAGAAAAGAATCGGAAACAAGGGAAAGCCCTTATCAACACATTGTGCCACGCCTGTGTGGTTTATGGCTGTGGTAACCCTGTGGTATTCTCAAGGTCATACTCGCAGACATAGATATGTAAGTATTCGAATGTTTGAGATATTTTAGTCATGACCAACCAAAAAAGCATGTTATCTGTGATGTTACATGAGATCAAAAGGCTGTAACATCTTCCATCTTCTCGCTTCCCAAAGTAAGACCATGACCAGCAATCTTAATCAATTTAAGAAAGAACTTAAAACGTATCTTTTTAAAACTTGCATATGATTAAATTTTATCGTATTTYAGTTCTGTTTTATTTACTGTTTTATTTTTCTAGTTTTATTTCATACATAGATAAATATATTAGTTAGCTGTATAATATAGTTTAAACTATTCCATTTATTCTAATTGTAAAGCGCCATAGGGTGTTGAATATGACGCTATAGTAAACTTTATTATCCCACAAACCTTTTCATCTCGASGTCTTCCTGTAGACTTTTCGAATTTACGGTAATGCGAGCAAGAAAATGAACTCACGCGGCTTGATGCGCAACATTTTCAACCTGCAGAGAAAATGTTGCTTAATAGCAATGGTTAACGATACGTTACTTTGCTGCACGGACTGGATTAGAAGCTTATTTTACTCTTTTGCAGCATTAAACATTTTTGCGTAATATGCCTGTATTTCCGCATTAGACGCRCCAAGATTCCTTGGATTTTCGTTAGAACTATGCGAACAGGTCGCTTCCAATACACAATTTTTTAATTTCATTTTCAATAAAGAYAAGATATTTTTTTGACAACTTAAATCAACTTCTAAACTTCAGTTCCTTCATGGTACAAGGTCCCGTCACAGTTTTGTCAGCTACAGTTCCTTWATTTTGTGTCAATCTCGCAAAACAAAGTCAGTTTTTTATTCGTCATTATGTTTTTGATACTTTGAGTCAACCTTCTCTTTGGAACAAAAAGTTATGGACATCGCATTCAACAGCAAGTTTCTTCCATGTTTTTTGGTTTTTCCTTGGTAATTTTCTTTGGATCTTTCGCGTTCGATATTTCGTGACTGGACTCTTTCTTGGCATCTATAACCTCTGTTTTCTTCTTGTCGGTGTGTTCAGGAGCCCGCGKTGTTTTCCTGCTGGTATCTAATGCAGAGCATGCGCACTGTGCAGCTGGGTGAAGCAAAGTGACCGTCGTTTGCTTTGTGCTTTTTTGTTGGGGGTCTTTTTCTCCGCTGCTCTGTGTTTCCTGCGGTTTTGAAACACTTTGTGGCAATTTTTTGTCGTCTTTGAGCTGCGGCTTTTGTTTGTCCTTCTCTTTGATTTGTGATAATTCTTCAGACGAAAATGGCGTACCTTTTGGCTTGTTAATGTTGCTATTACTGTTACTCCTGTTTTTGTTGCTGTTGTTGTTGCTGTCGTTTCTAGTGCKRTYGTTCTCGTTGTCGTTCTTATCAATGCTGGGAAGACCTTTTGTATTTTGTGGTTTACTTTTGCTCTGGTTTTTGTTATCATGTTGGCCAGTGCTGCTGTCGTGGCTGCTATTACTCAATGCACATGTATGTTCTGATCTTTTGCAATCATTGTTGTTGCTGCTGCTGTTGCCGGTGTTGACAGACTCCCCTTTCATTTCACTTGCGCCACACCCAGTTTCATTATCAGTACGCTTATCACTTTGTTTCACGGACTCTCCCATTACACAACTACCATTCTTTGAATCCTCAACAGTTTCGTTCTCAATTCTGATGGCTGGCAGTGTCATCAGGTTTTTCAACCCGACGGTCTYAGCACCTTTCTCTATAGTGACAGACAATTGCTTTGAACTGTGTTTTCCTTTGGAATTTTTCTTCTGCGCGCGGTCTTCATCCCCTGGAATTTTCTTGGTTATGTCACTAKTAACTTGATCGTTACCTTCAAACCATTTTCTTTTGCGTTCCATGGTAGAGCGCACGATATCTTTGAACCTCAGAGATTCCRGAGAATCTTCCTTGGAAACGACAAAGCTATTGACATGCTGTGATTTGATGCTCTTCGGTTTTAAACTTTTCCTTGCGAACATATGAAAAACTTTTTCTCTTCCTGGGTCACTAGTCAGCGTTTGTCCCAAAATTGGCTTCGACTCTCCTTGACCATGGAATGATCCAAGTTTCACCAGCGACTTGGATGACGATTTATTCAATGTTTGAAAATTCAGAACAGTTTGTTCATCTTTGAGAAGAGGTCCGGTCGTAAAAGAGCGCGGACGAAGAGGCCTGTCATATGTTGGCGCAACCAACTCCAACGCCGCTGCTGTGTCGCCCTTGTCCAGTAGGGTGAAGGATGAACGTTTGGTCATATTTCTGAACTTACGGAGCCTTTCGCAAAGCTGCTCAGACGTCAGGCAGTCTGAAGAACTAGAATTGGCAATCCGTGAGTAATCAGAGCCGTTCKTCTCTGCTTTTTCGTCCTCACGCGCGCGGATTTCCGCCACAAAATCTTCAATTAATCGACGCGATTCCTCGTTACTTCGCTGCTGTTGTGCCTTGTGAGAAAATTCCTGGAGAATTTGCTTCGCACTTTGGTCCTTTGGCGGTTGGTTTTTCCTGACTCTRCTGGCAAAGCGTCTCAGGTTGTTGACCGATTCTACCCAAGATAGTCGTCTTCGTAGGGTTTCCGTGTCTGCTGAAAACCATTTCCGAGGGTCGTTCAATGAACTACCTGGAAAAGATACACAAGACTTTTAACCTTAAACACACATACTAGTGCACTTTAGTTGGTCGATCTTGGGAAGTGCGCTTGATCATAGTCATTGACCATTTAATCCAATTTCATTAACAATTAAACCACTTAGCTAAGCAAGAGAACTTTATGGAGTACTCTACTACAGCTATTACTATAGGAAACAGACCTCTTTGTTGCCACTTGGGTGTGACGGATGGAAGACAACGTGATCCAAGCGATGCAACATTGCCGGCGACATTAATGGCAATGGTTTGGTTCTTAGTGGTCTGTGACAGAGACTCGGCTAGCAATTGTGCATGCGTCATAGCAGGCATTCTTGCGAAAATTTTGGTTTCGATAGCTATTCAATCTACAATCGCGGATGAAAATAACTCACCTTCATGTTCGTTCTTCTTTGACGCTTSGCGTCGTCTTTCTCTTTGCTGTTTCTCATAAGTCTTCGTTGCGATCCTTTCCATGTGGGATTTTTCATGAGGGTAAAATAGCAGAACTTCATCGAGATCATCTTTGGACAGCCGAAACAGATCAGTAAACCCGACAGAGCGAACCGAGGCGGTGCGTCGATCTCCGATGCCCTTCATGTTCAGCAGGCTAATCTCACCGAAGTGACTCCCAGCTTTCAGAGTTGCCAGGATCGTCTCCATTTCATCTAGGACCTCTACTTGTCCTTTATTAACTATATACATCTCCCGTCCTCTCTCCCCTTGTCTACAGATAAAATCCCCTGGAGAACTGATCGACGGCTTTAGTTTTAGCACAAGGTCGTGCAGAAATCCTGGATCACAGTCTTGGAACATTTCGACTTTAATCAGCGTTTCCAAGTTAACGTGTATCGCAATTTCGGCTTTGAAATTGTCGTTGAGTTTGGCGAAGAGTTGTTCTTCATCCATGTCTCGTTTTTGAGTCCAGAGATAATCGAACCACTGGATGACCCGTTTCTTCAGCTGTGCTGATAACTGATGCGCCTCGATATACGCCTTCATTCCATTTAACTGTAAACGAGAGAAATTATACCAATTGAAAACTCTTTTTTCTCAGGTATTTGTAGAAAACATTTTTCATGTGAAAATTTGAGAGAATTTGGCAATAAATGTTAATTTTTTGAAAAATCGTCTCAGGTGATTGTAGAAAAAAAATTATTTTGGAAAATGGTGAACAAAAAAWATATATATTCCCCTTCCAAATAATAAAACTATATTTTCTCAAAATAAAAACCATTATTTAAAAATCGAAAATAAAGATTAAAATATTATTTGAAAATTTCATCTCAACCAGTTGGTAAGTCTGCAATTTCTTAACATTTATTCTGACTGTTTTTGTTTGTTTGTTTGTTTGTTGGCTGATAATGAATGAATGGCAACTCAGTCAGAATCATGTAGTAGTTTCAGATTACCTTTCTCAGATACAGTTCCCTGGCTTTTCTCATATCAACGATCATGTCGCCAGCGTTGCCAACAATGGTAGCGAAAATCAATACACCACACAGATACGTCACTATGACAAATATCATGGTCAATAGAGTATTAGGCGAGGTTACCGTGCCTACTGTAGTCATGCTAACGCTTGAGCGGTACAGACTGTACAAGTATTGCATGCTCACCTGGAAAACAAAACAAAAAATTATGAAGTCCGCCTCAGTAGATTTTGTGCAAGAGGAAAAAATAATGGCACCCGGCATATATGGTCATGGTAAGGAATTCGGCCAATCACAGCGCGTCTAACCAACCAGCCTTTAGACTTCAATGTCACTCTTTGTCTAAACTTGACCATATCGTGAAAATACAAACGCGCTTTTTGGAGACAAAACGATGTGTATTCTAATGCTTTTAATCAGGCGTKGTTACTTTTTCAAAATGGCTGCCAAAACTCTACGAAAATGGGTCATGGATCTTTCTTATACTTCTATTAGAGGGTAAGTTTATCCTGAAGAGCCTAATACGACTCTACACACTCAACATGGCTACCCGTCCATTCTGGGTTAGTATATACTTACCGCTGCAAGAGGTCCCTCCAGTTTAGGATGAATCCAATCGTCTTGACCAAACCCTTCGAATCTCGAGAGAATAAAATACAAACAGGCAACCCAGTGAATGATCAGGAACAAGTAGTGAATAAGCTTGAAAAGGTTGAACAGCTTTGGACGGCCGCTGAAGATCTCTCCGCGATCGCAGAACAGGAAGTATCTGTGAACTTTCAAAAATCTGTTGACTCGGAGAATCGGGTATAGACCGACTACCAGGTACAACAGGTCAAAGGGTATCACTGAGAGAATGTCCAGGACAAAACCCCAGGATTTCACGTAGTGAGCCACGAGTGTCTTACCCCTACGTTCCATGATACCATCCTCAAGGATTCCCGTGCGGAACTGAATGAGAATGTCAAGCAGAAAAATAGAATCGAAGGAGTAGTCGATTCCAAAGCAAGTCTTGATGTTATCGGTGTAAATCGAAGGATAAGCGATGAACAGAATTATCGCCCAATAATTGTACAATACTCCAAGAGAAACGATCAACAGCCAGCAGAAATAAAAATCTCCGGATGGCTCAAGCACGAGRGACATGCAACACGATCTTTGGAAGTCAGCGGTTTCATCGATTGAGTCATGCTCATCGTTGATATTGGAGGTTCCTGGTTGGTCGGAAGCAGGGCTCTCAGGCTGAGGTGTTGGTGATGGAGACTTACGCATCAGGGGTCTGCGCCATTCACGTTCTTCGTTAGCCCTGGGAAATAAATATCGAAGATATCACTAGATGATGATTGTCGTGAAATAAAGGTTAGTATTGAGTACATTTTGTTCACCGTTTTCCRTACATCGGTTCACTGATCAAACACGARGCATTCAGTCGATGGTGCAAATTAGTTTCAGTAGTAAAATTGATAAAACAAAGATAAGARATAAAATATTTGAACCTTGTTATCAGAAAAATTCGTAGAACCCGGAGAAAAGYCCTCAAATCAACGGAGAAACCCACTCGTTTGTTATGCGTAGTTCAGGATGATCCCCAGACCCCAGAGTTGAGAGGCGAGTGTACTACCGTTTCACCACCCTTGATTCCATATTTACCTATGATATGCATACTTCTGCAGCCATGTTTCACGTGACTTGCGTACGGACTTGGTATAGAAGCGTTGCATGGAAAGAACCTTGAAGACAGAGCTCGCAAACCCAGTCGRCTCTTCTGTGTTCTCTATCACAACCTTAGGAACTTCAATATGTTCTTCGCTTGGCTTGCCATTGGACAGCGACACTCCTGGGTGACAGCTTAAGGATGTTCCTCCGTTCCTCATCTTGACAAAAAAAAAATGGTAAGAATCTTGTAGCTAACAGTCAGGTTTTTTTGTCTTCTGCGCTTGTGAGTAATGATTACGTAGCTAGGGGACGAGGTGCAGTCGCTCCCCRAACGTTTGACCAAAAATTATTGTAAATTTTCCTATTTCGTTGGGTTACCTGTGGATTTGGCGGGAATTTTTCGCGCCAAAATGAGTATGCTTGCCCTCCGACTCTGGTCTATTGCCATCGTCTTGGTTTTCCGAAAGTAAGTGGAAAGTAACAATTGAATATCGTCAAATCCAATCAGGGCTCAGGAATATATGTTTCCGGAACACTTCGGAATTCGAGAAAACAGACGAAAGGACTTTAAATGGTATTCAGTCTGCTATCATGATTCGCGATGCAAACTAAAAAGCAGAATTATTTTAATTCAAAGCTAGATRTATTGCGCATGTTCTAGAAGAAAATTTAATACCGAATCAGAGATTGATTTAGTAATAATTGTTAATATTATCTAAAAGTACATCCTAATAAAGAAAATCAAATATATTTATAATATTCATGTGGAAACTGAGATTTTCATTCTCATCGAAAATGGTTAATCGAAAATAAATACTTTAAACTATTTATTTTCTAATAAAAATTGGAAAGAAGAAAAAATTGATAATGAAAAATAAAKAAAAGAAARGAAAAAAARCCTAAAATTMTCGTACCTTCRACGTTTGTCAGTTTTCTTTTGCTTTGGAAGAACGATTGAAAATTATGCGGGTTTTTATKGTAATCGTAATATAGAACTACATCTAGAAGTCACGAAAAAAGCCGAGCCTGCGAATGATATAAAACGAGATTTTTTACTCTAATCTCATTTAATTTAATTCAGAAAGTTAATGAAAATTTATTGAAGTCAGTCCTAATGTAYATTCATCATTGAACCAAGGTTGACAGGTTAAATTGTACTTCAGTAATAAATGAAATGAAAAATAGTCAATAACGACAGATATATTAACACTGACTGTGGCTGAAATATAAGCATTGTGTACTTTTCCTATTTTTAATTAGATTTCGAGAAAATTACTGTTAAAAGCGCAATTAACGACAGAAAAGGCTACTTTTTTGTTATTAATTTGTCTACTAGTAGTAAGAATTACCGGTTGAAACTGTCGGTTGACATTTTTGAATCCTAAAACAGAGACCTCTATCCGCTATGGCCTTAGTGTCTCTCTGTATTTCTCTGCCTCCTTCTGGCTTTTTGTATGTATGTCTGTGTCTTCAGTCTCAATGATGGCTACTAGTCTGTCTATTTGTCTGTCGCTAGTTGGCCGGTACGTATTCTACACTAACGACCTACTTTTGTTACGAGTTGTTATAGACTGAAAGTTATACCTTTGGGCTAAAAACGCAAATATTTGTTTGCAATTCTTTTTAACAGAAACTACGGTTGAATCCCACTAACAATAAATACATCGGCGGAATTTTCTTTTCTTTTCTTTTCATTTTTTTCATTATTATCATTCAAAAAAAAATATAATTTTACTCACAAGTCATATTTGCTAAAGCAATTTTTTCAGCATTCATCTTTTGTTTTCCGAGAGCCGAGCTTGTCAGCTTGAGGCTTGGGATGAGATGTTATGTAAAGGGAAGAGATGGATGTTTTGTAGACCGATATTCCTCGTGGTTTTATYTATTTATTATTTCCTTCATACTACAGTTTTTGATGTTTG